TACTGTATATATCCTTCAGCTGTTATATATCTCCCATGTTTCTAGTATTCTCAGTTTATCGGTGTGTAGGGTTTTCTTAATTAACTTGGTATCCCATTATATTGACACCCTGGGCTCTATCGCATATTAGATCACAAAGTTATGACAATGTCATACTTATGTTCTGCCATCCTTCATGTCCAAGTTCTGTTAGTGGATCCTATGTATATGAGGTTATTATTAAATCTGCTATCATATAGTGGTATGGAGTAAACTTCCAGTATTTTGTTAAAATTGTAATTATCCTTTTGTATCCATATGGAGTCTGAAGATTGTTAAGTTACATTAAAAACGATTGATGTATTGGTGTAACTTGCTATAACTGGAATGTGTCAAAGAACATATTACAGAAATTTAAAACCAACATGTATTGTTATATAACGTGAAAAATACATTAGAAAGTTATAAAACAGATGAGATAGTGATGTTATACTAATATATTGCTATTCACAATTTATTTTTGTTGTTCTAATTAAAGACAAAGTCCTTAGGCAGTTTTTTTAAACCTTATGAAACATACAGCTCACCAACCAATTAACCAGTGTGAATAACGTTTAAGTGACTAACATTTTCATTAACCCTTCTGGGCACTTCTTCAGGTCTCTTCTTAATTCAATTCTTTAAACCTTACACAATCATATTAAATGAGCAAATTTTAATTTTTAATTTTTTACATATAAGATTTACTTACAATTATATTGCATTGTAAGATTATATTTTTAAAATCATTCAAAATCAGACCTTATACATTGTGATCATATTGTATATTTTTTCATTTTGTTTGATATTCAGAAATTATTACAGTAGACCCCCCTATAACGCTTAGATACGTTCCACGCTAACCGAAAATTACGTTGTAGGAATGATTAAATATGTGAGCCAATCGCAGCCCGATAGGTGGGAACTTTACGGACTAAGGCTGTTCGAAAGGTTTTCTTCTATAAAATTAACCGATTCTAGACTAATTCCACTCAACATTTCCAAAATACGTATAATTTTTTGGGAATAATCTGTATAAACTATGCTATAAACAAAAAATTATAGGATTACTTACCGAGTGTGTACCGTTCGACTACGCCGTTGCTTAAAGCTGGTTTTCACCGCGGAACAGCACATTAAACGGCGGCCGCGATTTCTAATAACGAATTTTTCGCATAAAAATAACTTGACCTTTGGAGACATCATTAATATAAATAATTTTTATGGCCGTTGAATAAGAAGTGTTTCTTTCACAAGAAATGTATAAAATTAGTGCTGTATTAGACTTACGGTACCTAATTTACATACTGTGCAGACGATAATAAACTCAACTTACTAGCCTAAAATCTCCGTAGCGTGTTGCCAGGCGGCAGAAAGCATATATATAATTATAATAAAGTTACAATAAATTAAGTTAATATATAATTATATATACAGTACCTAATTTATATATAATTAATATATAATTATATGTACAGTACCTAATTTATATATAATTTATATATAATACTAAACAGACGATAGCAAACTCAATTTAGCCGCTCCGTAGCGTGGCGCAGGGCCGGAGGAAAGTAGTTCGGCTGCTCATCCACTATTGGTCCAGACTCTATCAATCTTGTCGCGAAACGACGTTATAGGAGGTACGTTATACGAAAGTTGCTACAATTTTTTCGCTACGTTATAGGAATTGTCGTTATAGGAACGTACGTTATAGGGGGGTCGACTGTACAGACATTTACTTCTTTTACTGACAGTTGTAGATCAATTTTAAAACTAATATTAATTAATTAATTATCTGAGCACTATAAATAGCTCTTTTTAGGACTTATCATATACTATCGAGAACTCACTGGGAGAGTGATGAACATTAAATATTTATTTGTAACCACAGTATGCAATGCATTCTGGCATCAGTCTCTGAGTGAGTTTGCAATAATGTGTGATAAGTCCTAAAAAGAGCTATTTATAGTGCTCAGACATAAAAAAAAACTTACAAACTAGAACAGTATACTAATCAATACACTAACACCTAAATGTTAATTCCAGCATATAATCTTTAATGTTCCAAACGTTTTTGGCTCTCTTTCAGAGACCCTTTTCAGGAAAGATTGCATAAATACAAAAAAACAGTTCTATCGTTTGATTAGCCGTAGCTTTCAAACATAGCTGTGTTCCAAATTTTTAAACACTCACATGATGTTCAAAACAAAGATCGTTACATATTATCATACACTATCATACATATAAATAAATTATTTTAAATAAAGCTATAAATAAATTATTAATAATACAAAAATTAACTTAGTTAAAAAACTGGATAAGCAGTAGTGTATGTGTGTGTAGTAAGTCAAATGCTGTTTTATTTTGTCAATGTGTCATAATAAGGGATATGAATGTCAGGGAAAGTTGTGAAATTTAAAACAAACATTTGAATAGGAATCCTGTATATTTTATATGCTGTATGTTCTTATATGCAGACTGCTCTCATTTTATACTAGTTTGATTTATGTCAATTGACAATAATGCTGGTTTTAAATTTTTCCAAAAATATCTCAAAATATATTTTTATACAATGTGCAGAATATTTTTGCAAATGCTAAATTCAAATACTTTTTTCATTCCTGTTGATAGCACTAATAATAATGATGCTTTAATACTATTAATACTTATTCTAAAAGGTATTGGTTTTTTTTGTTCTATTCTAAAATGTTTATTGTTCATATTGTATTTCACCACTTTAAAGTGATTGTGTAATTCATTAAAATCTTTCCAAATCAAACTTCCTTAACTTGAATCTGTTTACAAGTTCCAGGCATAGTATATAGTGTTTAACATATAACAAGGTTTTGTTAAGCAGAAATTGTATCTCATCTTCCATATTCACCCAATCTTGCTTCTTCTTATTACCACTTGTTTTATCTCTTCAAAATTCTTTAAACAAACAAACAGTGCTTTATCTCTAATGATGATGTAAAATGGCACTTGGAACATTTTTTGCAAAAAAAAAAGAAAAACACAACTGGAAGTTTTTAAACAAGGTATTATGAAAGATTGCAAAAGGAACTTGGTAAAAATGGTGACTATATATTATTGAATAAAATTTTTATATTCTATAAAAAAAATGGTCTCTTTATTTTCACCTAAAAAAAGTACAGACTTATTGACCAGCTCAATACTTGCAGTCAATGTTTCCTCTATTTATTCACATAGTTGTGTTGGTGTCAAAATGCAGCTTGGAAAAAGAAGTGAGAAAAAATTTTCATATTATCAGTCATACTATCATCTCTCAGAATATTGCAGATTCCTCTTATATCACCCTGTTTATAGAAATTATTTGGATCATCATGAATGTTTTGTATGTAGATGCCCTGCTGTCAGCCATGTGTGCAGGAAGTAAAAATACTTGTTTAATACGATAGAAATCAGTGCAAATGTACAACTTAGAGGAAACATTGTTTGTTATCAGTCTGAAAGCATTTAAAGAAAATTTTCAGAAATAAACAATTCATAAGTTTTAAATTGCATGTCATTCTGAATATCATGATGAAATCTGTTTTGTCTAGGACATGAATCCAGTCCAGTGTAATTGTGCTACATGCACTAACCATCAATTAGTTACTTACCAGTTGTCTCAGTTATTAGATTGACAATTGTATTACATTGCTTGTGTTTGGGTAACCCTTACTTTACTTAAATAGTGACTCAAAAGTTCAAGACTAATGGCCCAAAGTGCAAAAGTAATGATACTAGCAATTTAGATATGCCAAAGAAATAGTATAACTCATAAAGTGTTTTCTTTACATGAAAAGGTTAAAGTTTATTGCTTAGTGTAATAAAATTTGTGATTGAGATCTTACATGATCACAAATTTTATTACACTATATTTTTATGTTGTTTCATTTTATTATTAGTTTTTATTAATCTCTTACTGTACCTAATTTATAATTTTCTAGAAAATAAATGGAGAATTTCTTGAGAAATTAACCTTCCAGGAGTGTATGGAGCATATTAGATCCAGTTTTTAGTCCAAAATTGTGTAAATATGGATGTTGCATAAAAATTTTATTTTTACCTTTTATTCTGTCATTCGTTCACTTTCTAACCAAGTAAAATGCTTTTAGTTAGGTAATAATACACTTTTTAGAAAATATTTTTTTTTAAATTTTTTTATAAAAAAAAAAAAAAAAAAAAAAAAAAAAGATAACCACTGTCTATTGTGCATTATACAATTTTATTACTTGGTGAATCTAGTCATTTCTTTTAAGAGACAAAAAGATGATGCATTCCATGCTATTGCTGTTTAGAAATTTGAGAAATATCACGCATTTATACAACAGTAGCAAATCCAAATAACAAGTTATCTTCACTATCACTCATATTAGTAGTGAACCAGTTTACAGTTTAGATTTTGAATTCTAGCCTGAATCAACTCCAAGCCAGCTTGAAATTTCTCTTTTGGTGAATATTCATCTCAACAATTCTTGGCGTATTCATATTTCATGCAACATTAAGATTAGATTCTAGTGGATTTGAAAATAATTAGCTTCTTTCATAGCATGTTAATTAATTTAATTAAATAACTATGTATTTTTCTAAAAATGAAAGTAGTTTTTCTGATTTTAAAGATTTGGTTTGACAAATTATTGAATTATCATTAATTAAAATAACAAAATATTTCAAACCTGAATAATAAAGAAGTCAAATAAAAAAAAATTTGGAAGATCTCATATATATAATTTGACTCAAATGCTTTTCCTTGGTAAATAAAAAGACATTATCATAATCTATTCAACAAATTTTATAGTGTTAATCTTTATATAAATTTGAAATATGATGTAACTTTTTGCGATTATTTTTAGGCTACATTTTTAAATTGATACATTTAAGTATTGTTATGTAAAAAATTCAGTTTATATAATTGCTATAAAGTTACTTTATTTTTGATTAATATTATAATTTATTAATAAAAATATATTTTACAGGTGTAATCTCATCATAATATGCTGGAACAAATTAAATTTGTATAATATGGGGGATGATAACAAGCCATTTGCATGTAATATTGATGGTTGTGGAATGGTAAGATCATTTTAATTACTATAAAATGGCATCTGTCATTTATTAGTATCGAGATGTTTTTAAAGATAGCGTTTGTAAAATATAACAAGTATGATTGAATATCAATTTTAAATATAACCTATAAGTAAAAATATACTGGAAGTATGTTTCTAGATTATTTCATTAAATATAAAATAATAAATACATTCATTGAAATGTTTATTCTGTAATATATTAATAAGAATATTGTGTTTTTTTAACAAGTTTTTAATAATAAAATAATTTGTGAATTTTAAGTTTTTAGTATATTATCAAAATAACTAGTAGAAGTGTTTTCATATTAATATTATTAATACCAAACAATAAATAAACTACCAATGCTAAAAAACATATGCAACAGAATATCCATAATCATGGTTGGTTGCTCTGCAAAACTCTCATAAATGCGGAAATTGTGAATATGGAAAAATAAATACATTGAAAAATATAGGATTAGAACATAGTATATTTTCTTACAAAAAATTTTACTATAGTGTTTCTAATCTATATCTCTGTTTTTCTTAATCTATCTTACTGTATTTATAATAAACATGCAAGCATCCATATTTGTTGAATTTTTATTCTCTGTACGTGAGCTTTGTCTTTAAGAAACATTAAGCAATTTCTTTAGCCATTTTCAGTATTTTATCTGTTGTGGTTTTTATATTATGATGATGATGATTTATAAGGATAAAAAAAAAATAACTAAAATTGCAAATAAAACAATGTTCACATTCATAATGCATACTAATATAAAATGTGACATTAATAGTTGCATCCATGTGTTAAAATAACATGAGAAATTACAAGCTAGTATCCATGGTCTAATAGTCAACAACACAATTTATTGTAGAATGCATTTAACATAAAATGTCTTTAAATTATTTGATTGTTTATGTATTGTTTCATTATTAATTTTTTAATTCTGCAAATTAGTGGATTTTAATTTCTTGAATACAGAATAATGGTTGCAAATACAAAACTCCAAATATGCAAAGTGTGCGAATAAAGAATGTGTGAATATTGGATTTCTACTATAGTTAAATTATATTGCAAAATGACAGTTTACTTATTTACATTTAGTCTGATAAATTATTGAATTTATACATACATATTATAATAATTATACACATTTAATATTAACAAATGTTAACATTAAATATGTACTAGGTAGGACAAGAAGTCCCTAAAATTCATTTGTAAAGAACAAAAACAAAATTAAAATGCAAAAATTAGTTTTATTTTTGGAAACTTTTTCCGTTAAGTGCAGGATAAGATATTACTTAAATGACCACCTTCTTGATGGCACAAATATCCTTTTTTGTCACATTTGCCATAACTTTTTCCAAAATATCGGGCGTTATTTGGCCAATGTTCCTCTATTCCTCAAATTGCTTCACAATATTCAGAATGATGTTTAGTGCTAGAGCCAAGTGAGAGCCATAAAATCTTCTAAATGTCAAGTTGCAATTATAAACCTGTGTTATTTTCAAAGAAACAAGATGATGATTTTTGTTCTTTCTGCTACTTTGTAGTTTTTCATATTAAATTTTAGATTTCACTCCCTAAAAAGAAATTCTTCATTGGGTTTCAATTTTAAAAAATTGTAAACCTATAAATTCTCACTTCGCTCATCTGTCCATCCATCTGTCCTTCCTTAATCATGAGAACAGAGTTATATAGATGAAAGATGAGACCAGATATGGAAACCTTAGAGGCAGGAGACTCAATTAACTATTTACAAACTCCAATGCAACCTGAAGTCATGTTATTTCAATTGTAAAATTTTTTCCTGAAAGATGTTAGGTAGGTGACTGGCACAACTCTATTGTTAAAGGAAAAGTATGATGTACAGGGGAAAGCCAGTACTACTAATTTGAGGTGGAGAGCATATATTTTAAATTAAATAAATTTAAAATATCATTAATAATTGTTTGTTTTTAAAATTTTATTATATATTGCCTGATCTCAAATAAATTGATGGTTTAATTCTTTAAGCTCTTTGGCATTTTTAACTAAAGAGAATATTATAGAGTTTAAGTGTGAGAGAATTTTGTAAACAAAAAATTTTACATTTATATATAGAAGTTTTGTTATAATTTATTATACTTTTTTTGTATTTGTTTTGTTTAATGAAAATCTTATTAGTTAATCAATAAAGTTAAAATAACTTTAGCTATTTTTTTACCTAGATTTTGAATGTATACTTTGTTTCCTTTTTTCAGTCATAGACATGTCCTTTCTTGAATTTTAAAAGCAACTAAGTATCTAGATTATAGGAATTACTTGGAATATACAAAAGATGATACAGATTTTCTGTGAATGTTGTTTTTGATATCATATTCTTTAAAACTAAATAGGATATTTAGAAAATATGCTTTACTAAAAGCTGTATATGATGAACTTCTGGTATTTTGAAATAATGAGAAATAAAAACAAATACACATACATATTTCTGGGTACTTCTACTGTAATGAATAACTGAAAAAGTTTATTACAAAAATTAACTAAACTTTCACATGAACATCTTTAGTGGCATGTAGGATATCAAAATTTATTATTCAATAAATATCAATCTATTAATATTTGTCTAAATTAAAATAAATGCATATTTTCTTATAAATTTGTTTGATTGTGATTACTTTTTTTTATTTCAGGTGTTTTAGTCCTTGATCTTTTATTTATGATAATTTTACATAAAATGTGAAATAGTTTGAAATATTAGGTTTTATCTAATGATTTTTGCTCTCTTTATCATCTGTAACTCTATTGATAAGTATAAAATTCTTTCAAAGAAACTATGATTGATTATCAAGCAGATTTAATAATTACAATATCACATTTCGAGATTAAAATTTTTGAACTGTAAAGTATATGCATACCTAATGATAATTTTTGGTCGTGTAGCTAATAAATTTTCTCATTAAAAAAAAAACAATCTGAACAGATGATAAATGAATATTTTGATATAGTTAACAAGAAATTTATATAAGTTAGTTTAAAAAACATTTTCAGTTCATGAAAATAAGAATTTTAATTTTGAAACAATATGTAAATAGATTATATTCAGACAATACATGAATTGAATGCTTATAAATTATTTAAGTAAGATTTCCTATAGTAATACTTAAATATAACATCTATCATTGATCTAAATAACATTCTAAACAAGTATTTACTAATGAGATCATATACTTCTGTAGATTATTTATTAACATCTTGACAAAAAATATTAAAGAATAAATAAAAGATATAATTATAACACTATTGTGAAATTGGATTTTCGTCTTTTCAACTATGATAAAATAAAAAGAAATTTTAAGTAAAAATCAGTAAAAATTTTAATAATGTTCACGATGATCTGCAAGTTCTCTTTGTTAATTATATGAAAGTTTTCAAATTTTATTATCAGTTTTTACAGAATATTTGTTTTATTGAAACTTTCTGTTATGATATCATAACAATTTTTGGATTAATTCTTTATTCTTCTTCAGAATAAACATGAAAAAAACTTTTTGCATATGTTGTATGCTTAGGCTTTCATGTGATCTTAGTTTTTTCAGATATATCTAGTGTTATTTCAGATTTGTTTCTCTGAAAGCAACCAAAATTATTTTAAAACTTACCTTAAATAGTAACATTTCTGACAAAATTCTTTTTAAATAAAGCAATGAGTGATATTTATTTATTGTCAGAACTAGTGAAGTTGTTGTAACCAAACATATTCAAGATTTAAATTCTAAATATTTTGATTTTTAGAGTGATTAAAAATTTAATTTTTTAAAATATCTGAAAAAATTTCGTTACAGTATTTATATTAATCTTAACAAAATAAGTTATTTATTGTTTAAATTAAACTTATTATAACAGTTAAAAAGTTTTTTTTTTGTGAAACATACTTATACTTACAAAGAGGCTCAGATGTTTGTGTCTCTTCTCAAGATTTCCAAAAAACAGGCCTCTGAAAATTGATTGTTTAACTTATAAGTCTTTGGAAGTTTCACATCTCCTTGGAACAGTGATAGCCAAGTGGATAAGATGCTAGGCACTGGAGATACACAATATAGGTTTGAACCTTTGCAATTTTGATTTTGTTTTTTAAATGTGTAGCATAATTATTTTATTTTTTCACCATATCATTAGCATGATTATTACTATTATTATTCCTCATGTTTATTTAACAACATAAAACAGTTAAATCTATAGAGATTTTGTTTTCACAGGAAATGACATCATGAAGTGTAGCTCCAGTACCTAGTATCTTATGTCTCTTTGGAATGGGATAGCCAAGTGGATAAGTCTTTGGAAGTTTCACAAGTAAATACTCAATTTTCAGAGCTTGTTTTTTAGAAACTCTTGAGAAATAGGCCCTATTATTTGGACAAGGAGCCATTTTTGTTTTTAGGGCTATATTCTCACCAAGTTTCTTTTGAATTGGCAATTTGAACATATGGCCTTCTTGTTAGAAATGTAGGTAATTGTTTCTGATCTAATTATCATAATATGAAGTTCTACAAAGTCTTTGTAAAATAACACATGAAACAAGTATATACATTTGTATATTTAGATTAGATTTCAGTTAAATTATTTAGAACACAGCTGTATTTAAGGGAATAAATTGAAGTAGTGGAAAAATAGTGTTTTCATTTTATATTTAGTTGCATGTGTCTGGTATTGCTTGTACTTTCGAGAGGGTAGGGATTGGTGTGGTTTGGTTGGGATAGAATGATTAATGTAATAGTCTTAGGTCGATAAATGTTCATATTAGTTACTAAGTGTTTACAATAATGAAACTGTAATGTTATGTTAATGCTTGCTTGGGCTTAGGAATGCTTAGGAATGGTTGGTTCCAAAACGGTATTTTTTTTTTTGTTGTTTTTTTTTTTTTTGCATCAAAGAATATTCATGCCAAATTTGGTGCAGATATGTTGAATAGTATAGAGATAGAGCTTTTTATCATATGTATGTATCTGTATATGTATATTTTTTATTTTTTCCTGTTAAATTATTTGATTTTATAAATTTTCTTTCTATCATGGAATAATATTTGTATATAGAGATATATTATGTATAGATTTGTTCCTAAATACTAACTTTACTATGAAAATGTAGTGTAAATTTGAATGAATTTATTAAATTATAATCATCAAATGATGCATTACTATTTTAATTTTTTGCAAATGTATTTCTAACTTTATTAAAATTAAATATTAACTATATTATAGCATTTTACAAATGAAGATCATTTGACTGTTCACAAAAGAAGACATCAAATGCGTTTAAACCTCAATTCATCAAATATTAGAAATACTGTGGCTGGTAAGAAAATTATTATTTTAATAAAATTGATGTTTTGAAAAAATATACAAATGATTCTAAACATTTAAAAACCAGAAAAAAATGCTTTAATAGAATTAAAAAAATTGAAATTCTAATGCTTTTTGGATCTATATCTGTTTCAAGGTCAATGCTTAAAAGATTATAGTTGCTATTATAATAATATCATAAATGATTGAGTTCCTATGAAAATAAAAAATAAATATTCATTACTAAAATAGGACAATAAACATCTGAAATTTGAAATTTTAAATCTGATTTTAGAATATGGACAAAACAGTTAAATTAACACATTCACTTCTTCAAAAACTGGTTGTATGGAACGAAAGTACACACAAATATATCCAAAACCAGTAAAAGGAGTAAAAATATTTACTGATAATGTCTTTGTCTGTTTCTAATGAACATCATCAGGTACAGTCGACTCCCCTATAACACTGTTAATTTTTCCGTTTTATATGAATTCCATGTTGTACGAGTCACTTAGATTTTACAAATATGAGAACTGTTCACAGCCCGGCACACGTATTTGTAAAATCTAAGTGACTTGTACAACATGGAATTCATATAAAACGGAAAAATCAACAGTGTTGTAGGGGGATCGACTGTATATCTTAAATAATGAATGTACAATATATAAGAATGTTCATATCAGTAAATATTTTCAAGTTTTTTTTTTTTTTTTGCGCTTTTGGATATAATTTCATTATATTAACATTACATTAAGTAAAGATTAACAAAATATTAAAATTAGAACTGTTCTGGGGAAAACAAAAATAAACAGCTTACTCCAACTTGCAAATTTTGGAATATAGTATACATATAAAAGTAATATTTTGTTATTTTAGTTAATGTAACATTAAGTTTAAAATTATTCCTATAGAAATAAACTTTACTCATTTTACTTTCCTGGCTGTTATGTATACATAACAAGGGAAAGTATTGGAATCATGTCAGATTTGACCCTCTGAGCTTTTTGCAAATCTGCACATTTTGAGACCACCTGAAATTCAAAAAAGTAAAAAAGTGACAAAAAATTGTGTGTGTTGGCATCTGTTTTGCTTTATATCTCAGGATGGGGTAAAGATTAAGTAATGAAATTTGGCATGTTGGTTTGTATATAAGAGGCATTAATACTTTTAAATTTTGGTAGTTAAAGGTCAAGGGGATGAGGAGAAAAAGGGGGTTGTGTATCTTTGATAGGGTCAGATTTAATGATGATTCTACTCGTTATTAACATTTATACTACATTTTTTTTTTTTTTTTTTTTTTTTTTTTTTTTTTTTTTTTTTATTTTTTTTTTTTNAAATATTTTCAAAATAGTTTTGATCCTACTATCAAAATTATTCTGTAAAGTAGAATATAAATTTAATTTAAAGGATATTACGTTTAATAGTGGCAAGAAAGAATGAAGTAATAGATAAATGGCATCATCATTTGAATGAAAAGAATAGAATACAAGTATTTCTTTTTTAAAAAATAACCAATAAAATATTTAGGCATTTATTTCATTATGTTTACAACTTGTAAAATCTTTGTTGATGAATTATAGATAACAAAGTTTAATTACTTCATTCAATTATTTATAGTAATTTTACCAGTATTGTTAATTTTAGAGAAGATTTAAAATTAGAAAGTTTGTCTTGTTGCATTCAGAGAGGGGGGAAAACCTATTTTTAAACTGTATTACTCAGAAGTAAAATTAATGTATAGAATTTTGAATTTAAGTATAAATATTGATCTCTTTCTCAAATCTGTATTTATTCATTTATAAAACTGTGTACAGTACTATATATTTTTAATACTTGCATTTGTATGTTTGTTGTTAGAGTTTTTCTTATATTAAAGCATTTATTAGATATTTCTTGTTGTATTACTCTATTAATTTCAGTTTACATAAGTTTAATAATTAGGAAAAGGATTGAATTTAACAGGCTATCAATATTAATTATAAATTGATTTATTTTAAATTTTGATTTTAATGATTGTGGATAAATTGCAAAAATGAGAACAGCCATCTAAATTTACAGCTGTTACTAATTTGTTATATTAATAAAGTTTAAATTATTTTTCAATAAAAAGTATAGTTTAACAAATCGTTTTAGAGCTTAAATAAAAGTAACAATGAAGTAATAAACGATAAGATGTTCAAAATGACAAATAAAATTCCGACCAAATGTTAAAATTGATTATCTTAAATGTTTGCATCAAGAATGCATAAAGAAGTGTTTTATTTGAAAAAAAATTAGACAAATTCTAATTTTTACTAAATCTGTTTTTGATCTGTTGACATTTTAAGTATCATAAAGTAATAAAAAAAATTAAACTTATAAAACTGATTTGAAACAAAATTAAAAAGAATTTAATTCTTAAATGTGTTATATTTTAAAACTTTTTTACTTTTATATTGTTTTATCAGTCTTTAAAAGGAATGAATTTTGAAAATATTCAAAAATTTATTTCAAAAAACAAACATTTTTAAAATATTTTTACCAAATTCTTTGTAGCATAAAATTATTTAAAATGTTAACAGTTTTAAACTACAAAATAATAATTAAACAAATTAAGTAGTAAAAAAAACAAATATTGTATAATATAATTTAAATGTAAAAAAAATAAATGAAGAGCAATTACACTAAAGGTGTGTATCTACCAAATCTGTGAATAAGTTTGGAGCTGCTTCAAACCAGTTCAACAAAAGTTCTGAACTTGGTTGATACATCTCTGAACTTCTGAGCCTTGTCCAACCTTTTGAGGAGCAACAACAAATGGCTTGGAGCATGCTGGGATCTGATTTGCAGTGTGGATGCCATAACAGTTAAAAAGTATTTGTTTGAATATTGAATTTGATTATTTAACAAAAGAATAAGTATGAAGTTCTAATTAAATGCATTATATTATTATTTGCACTTCATATATTATCTGACAATATTATCAGAAGTGTATATTATACACTTCAGATAATATTGTCTTAATTTTCAGAATATAGACTGTTGTGAAAACAGTAGATTTAATTGAATTGATGACATTCAGTTTTACAGAATATAAGGGATGCAGAATATAAAAATACAAAAAAAAAAAAAAAAAAAAAAAAAAAAAAAAAAAAAAAAAAAAAAAAAAAAAAAAAAAAAAAAAAAAAAAAAAAAAAAAAAAAAAAAAAAAAAAAAAAAAAAAAAAAAAAAAAAAAAAAAAAAAAAAAAAAAAAAAAAAAAAAAAAAAAAAAAAAAAAAAAAAAAAAAAAAAAAAAAAAAAAAAAAAAAAAAAAAAAAAAAAAAAAAAAAAAAAAAAAAAAAAAAAAAAAAAAAAAAAAAAAAAAAAAAAAAAAAAAAAAAAAAAAAAAAAAAAAAAAAAAAAAAAAAAAAAAAAAAAAAAAAAAAAAAAAAAAAAAAAAAAAAAAAAAAAAAAAAAAAAAAAAAAAAAAAAAAAAAAAAAAAAAAAAAAAAAAAAAAAAAAAAAAAAAAAAAAAAAAAAAAAAAAAAAAAAAAAAAAAAAAAAAAAAAAAAAAAAAAAAAAAAAAAAAAAAAAAAAAAAAAAAAAAAAAAAAAAAAAAAAAAAAAAAAAAAAAAAAAAAAAAAAAAAAAAAAAAAAAAAAAAAAAAAAAAAAAAAAAAAAAAAAAAAAAAAAAAAAAAAAAAAAAAAAAAAAAAAAAAAAAAAAAAAAAAAAAAAAAAAAAAAAAAAAAAAAAAAAAAAAAAAAAAAAAAAAAAAAAAAAAAAAAAAAAAAAAAAAAAAAAAAAAAAAAAAAAAAAAAAAAAAAAAAAAAAAAAAAAAAAAAAAAAAAAAAAAAAAAAAAAAAAAAAAAAAAAAAAAAAAAAAAAAAAAAAAAAAAAAAAAAAAAAAAAAAAAAAAAAAAAAAAAAAAAAAAAAAAAAAAAAAAAAAAAAAAAAAAAAAAAAAAAAAAAAAAAAAAAAAAAAAAAAAAAAAAAAAAAAAAAAAAAAAAAAAAAAAAAAAAAAAAAAAAAAAAAAAAAAAAAAAAAAAAAAAAAAAAAAAAAAAAAAAAAAAAAAAAAAAAAAAAAAAAAAAAAAAAAAAAAAAAAAAAAAAAAAAAAAAAAAAAAAAAAAAAAAAAAAAAAAAAAAAAAAAAAAAAAAAAAAAAAAAAAAAAAAAAAAAAAAAAAAAAAAAAAAAAAAAAAAAAAAAAAAAAAAAAAAAAAAAAAAAAAAAAAAAAAAAAAAAAAAAAAAAAAAAAAAAAAAAAAAAAAAAAAAAAAAAAAAAAAAAAAAAAAAAAAAAAAAAAAAAAAAAAAAAAAAAAAAAAAAAAAAAAAAAAAAAAAAAAAAAAAAAAAAAAAAAAAAAAAAAAAAAAAAAAAAAAAAAAAAAAAAAAAAAAAAAAAAAAAAAAAAAAAAAAAAAAAAAAAAAAAAAAAAAAAAAAAAAAAAAAAAAAAAAAAAAAAAAAAAAAAAAAAAAAAAAAAAAAAAAAAAAAAAAAAAAAAAAAAAAAAAAAAAAAAAAAAAAAAAAAAAAAAAAAAAAAAAAAAAAAAAAAAAAAAAAAAAAAAAAAAAAAAAAAAAAAAAAAAAAAAAAAAAAAAAAAAAAAAAAAAAAAAAAAAAAAAAAAAAAAAAAAAAAAAAAAAAAAAAAAAAAAAAAAAAAAAAAAAAAAAAAAAAAAAAAAAAAAAAAAAAAAAAAAAAAAAAAAAAAAAAAAAAAAAAAAAAAAAAAAAAAAAAAAAAAAAAAAAAAAAAAAAAAAAAAAAAAAAAAAAAAAAAAAAAAAAAAAAAAAAAAAAAAAAAAAAAAAAAAAAAAAAAAAAAAAAAAAAAAAAAAAAAAAAAAAAAAAAAAAAAAAAAAAAAAAAAAAAAAAAAAAAAAAAAAAAAAAAAAAAAAAAAAAAAAAAAAAAAAAAAAAAAAAAAAAAAAAAAAAAAAAAAAAAAAAAAAAAAAAAAAAAAAAAAAAAAAAAAAAAAAAAAAAAAAAAAAAAAAAAAAAAAAAAAAAAAAAAAAAAAAAAAAAAAAAAAAAAAAAAAAAAAAAAAAAAAAAAAAAAA